TGATGGGGTGTCCCATGCCTCCTCTCCAGGGCAGATGATGGGGCAGCAGCTGTGGAGCATCTTTCAGAACCGGAGCAAAGAAAGAGGGGAGGGAGCAGCTTAGGCAGCAGGATGCTGATATCTGTGCTCCGTGAAGGCACAGTGGCGACTCACCTTGTGTTCAGGTTATGCTGCAAATTTAACTGATGGGATGTGGCTGGTGGAACCCTTCCCCAGAGGCCAGCAAGGAGAGAAGATGGGCAAGGTGGAAGGAGGACACTTCTCAGCCCTCTGCCATCCAGCAGATTGACTTGAGCCCAAGTGTCAGTGGTGGAGATGCAGCAGTCAGCAAACTTCTTGGCCACTGGCTCTCACTGGCGGACTGTGTAAAAAATGAACAAGAATGTTTTAAAGGAACAAGTATGAGCTGGTGTTAATAAATAGCATAGGAACTTGCTCTTCAGAGATGCACTGATTTTTACAAACAGCCACTCCTTGGAGGTGTGAAGTCAACTTATAAGGGTGAAGTTTAAGAGCAAATGACATTAGGGGAAAGAAAGTACATGAATGGTTTTATTTTACTTTACTTTATTTTCCGTTTAGAATAGATGGGATCCAGAGTGCTGCGAAATATGTGCTCCTTAGGAAACAGTTGAAAAGCTTTGCGTTACATTCTGCCCTGATGATTTGCACACACATGCGTTTGCTTCTTGTATGGTGTGTAACTTAGTTTGTGTTTTTTACTAAAATAGATATATAGAGATATATGCACCCCTATAATGATAGGGCTAGCTGGTTTCCCAGTTTGATTTGTTTTCTGATAAAACTAGCAAAGGGAGCCAGCAACTTCAGGCAAGTGCTTTTTCCACTACTCCAGTCCCTGTAACATTGCTTTATTTCCTGTTGTCCCACTGAATTTTTTTTAAATGCCCGTCACAAACTGTGGTGGTATATTTATTCAGTTAACCATTAAATTAGAATCTCCTTTTACTTCAGGAAGAAGGTTCTATCTACGGTTTCTGTTGCAGTTTTCTCTGGTAGAGTAGAAACTTTACACAACCCATTTAAACAGGAGGATTGCCATTTTGCATCAACTATCTTGCTCTCCCTTGTTGTGAAGGAGAGTAATCGATGTTCTTTATTCCCTTTATGGGAAATATTTGGGTGTTATATTTTGGCCATTGCTTTATCCTGTTTCTTAGTAGTGAAAGTGGGATAGAAGCCTTCCTAGTAGACTTTCAAGCAGAGGTTTACATCATTGCTTTCTGTACACCCCAGTTGTGGAAGGGGGGGATTTTGCATGTCCAGTCACTGAATTTGCAAACCTGGGATTCCCCATGTTAACCCATTTGCTTCCTAAATATGATTGAGCAGAATAGCAGGGTTGGCAACCCTTTAATGGAATTTAGGACAACATATCATCTTAACTTGATCCCATGGAATGAGATTCGTTTCTGTTTTGCAGGAGACATCCCAGTTCCTGTTCCTGTTAGTGAGACACTACTAGCTCAGCCCTACAGCATTTATCACAACTTATTTCCAGTTGTAGGAAAAGGGCACTCAACTTTTGCAAAAGATTGTTTGTGAAAATCCAGCTCCTTCCTCTTTCATCCGCTATAAGAGTTATATGGAGGAGAGATAAGGTGGGGGATGTTCTGTGTGTGAAAGATAGAAGGAGGGATGCTAGAGTTTTAATATAGAACACACTTAGACAGCACTAAGCTAGTGAGAGAGACAACAAAGAAAAGCCTTGATGATTTTATTCAGGTTTTTAACAATAAATTTAAAGTGGGGAACAGGAAATTAGTTTATATGCAGCTTTTTAAAAAAAGACAAAATTCTGCATGCTTCTAGGTCTGATCTTTCCTTGTCTATTTATCTGAAAATTATTAATAATAAACCCTCTGTATTAAGTATCTGCATCTTTCAAAATATTTTTTTGGAACAGTTTGAGTTGGAATTTTTTGTCTTTGTTTTTGCACAGTCTTTAAGACCTGTTCTAATTTAATAAGAACCTTAGCTTGGTATGGCCATTATCAAACACAGCTATAGACGTTTAGCATTCTTAATGTTCTCTTATGGGGTTAATGTAAGCATCTATATAATATATCAAGTTTTAAACAGGAAATGGAAGACGTTTGATGCAAAACTTTTGCATGATAGAGAAATAATTGAAATCAAGTTAGGCTTTTATTTCCTGAATGTTGGTAGAACCTTCATAGCTTTGTTATAAGGAAACCTTGAACTGAAAATATTTAATAAAATAACAATTAAATGGTGCATAAAGAAAAAAAGCCAGCATTCTTTTATTCTCCAAAGTTTCCAGAAAGATTGGACTTCTGCTGTTGAGAAATGTGTCCCTCTTGCT